TTAGAATTAATAAATAAATATGTCCAGTAGTATTGTAGAATACAAAATCAATATACAAAATCAAGTGTATTTCTGTGAATTTTCATGGAAGGCAGAAGGACTCTGTCCTACTCCCCAGAACCTGTGAATATGTCACCTCATCTGGTAAAGGGACTTTGTAGATAATCTTGTGACCTTGAGATGAAGAATGTCCTGGATCATCCAGGTGAAGCCAGTGTGACAAAGGGAAGAAGGGTAAAAAGCAGAGTTATATGTGATGAGGGAAGCAGAGCGCCTAATGACTCAAACTGGCTTTGAAAACAGAGGAAGGGATCGTGCGCCACAGAATACTGGCAACTTCTAGAAGCTGGAAAAAGCAAAGAAGGAGCTTGCAGAAAGAACACAGCCCTGCTTATAAATGACAGAGCTTTGATTTTCAAAACTAAGATAATAGGCTTGTGGTATTTTGAGTTACTGAGTTCATTGTATGCTACTGTGACAGTAATAGAAAGCTAATCAAATTGTAGGAAATTTAAGAAAATAAGTCAGTTTACAACATCAAGCAATATAAAATTTAGGCATAAATCTAATGAAATATGTACAATACTTTGAAAACTATAAACATTTTTGAATGACATCAAAGAAGAGCTAAAAAATGGAAAGATATTCCATATTCATGGGTCAAAATATCAAATTTGTTAAAATGACAATCCTAAACTTGATCTACAGATTCAGTGCAATCCCCTTCAAAACTGCTGGCTGCTTTACAGAAGCTGACAAGGTGATTCTTGAATGGGAATACAGAAAAGTTGAAATAATCTTGAGAACAACAAAGTTGACAATGGCACAGAACAGACACATACTTGGAATAATGTTGCGAGTTCAGAAATAAGCATTCACACTTAAGGTGAATTAACTTGCCCAGGCCATTCAATGGAGAGAGAATATTATCTTCAATAATTGATCCTGGGACAACTGGTATCTGCATGTGAAAGAATCAGGCTGTACCCTTTCCTCATACCATCTACAAAAATTCATCCCAAAAGTCTCAAAGACCTAAATAGAAGAGCTAAAACATAAAATAGAAGAAAACAAGTCTATTTTCATGCCCTTTGGTTAAGCAATGGTTTCTGAAATGGTACTAAAACGGGCATATCTATACAGACAGAAAATAGACGTGTAGTTACCAGACTGGGGAGGATGGGGGGCTAGGGTGACAGGAAGAGAGCTGCCAGTGGGTGTAGAGCTGTATTTGGGGGGCAAGGACTGATGAAAATATTCTAAAATTGATTGTAATAATGGCCACACAGCTCCACATATGCTAAAACCATCAAATTATACACTCCTAACCCCATGGTATGTAAATTGTAATTCAATAAATCTGTCACTTTAAACATCCCAAGAATGCACGTGCATCCGTTTTATATTGTTTTTAGTATACGTACACACATACACATACTAACGAGCAGCATGTAATATTGGTATATTTAAGGTGTTTGCATAGATCACATCATATTCTTTGACATCTTTTTCTTTACTCAATTTTCTTTCATATTAGTCCATTAGTAAACTCTCGCATGATTGTGTAATTAAAAGCTTTGCTTATCCAATCCTAAAAAGCCTTCCCTTCATCTGACTGTCTGTCTATCTATGTATCTATCTATCTACGTTGCCAGCTGTCCCATTTTACTTTTTTTTTTTTTAAAGATTTATTTATTCATGAGTAACTGGGGTACAGGCCAGAGATGCGGAGGGTGAGAGGATTCACCAGGGACAGAGTGGGGAGCAGAACAGGCAGATCTACGAAGTACACTGCTGAGGGGAGCAGCGGGCGGGCCAGGAGAGGTCTGCCACGCCATGTGGTCTCCTCCGGGGCAGGCGGGCATCGAACTCATGCGGAAGTGGCTTTCTCAGTGCTGTGCTTTAACCCGCTGCGCCACCAGGGAGGGCCCCATTTTACTTTTTTACCTTCAGTCAAACTTCTCAAAAGTTTCTACTTCCTTATCTCCTCTTAATTCAACTCACAGCATTGAAACTCTAGGCACACTACCACAAATAATGTATTTCAACTTAAAATGCTCATTTAAAACAATTTCCCAACATCTTTAAACGGGCCTGTCTTATGGTTGATGACATCTAATCATTCTAAATGTTAGCATTTTTTCTCAGTGGCACATAAAATAATGGTGATTCTGATAATAGATGGCATTTTATGAAACATGGTACAGTGGACAGGTTTGTCATTTCACCCGATCTTTTAGCTACACCGGTCTCGATTGACCTCAATCTTCTTGAATTTTCTTCTTCTGACTTCCATAAATACCCTTTTCCCCAAGTTTCCCTCCCACTCTGTGCACACTTCTGAATGTCCTTTGTTGGATCAAATGATGTGCACTCAAGTCTCTTCCAGCGATCACTGCTCTCTGCAGGCTGCCCTGTGATTACCCAGCCCCATGGTGACAGCTGACAGATAATTGCAGCTCATGCCCAAACCACCACTCAGCACTCTACTCAGATCTGCAAAGTTCACGTGCCTTGTGTGCATGTTTAAAATGAAGCTCCTGCTTCTGCTAAACCTCAACCTATTTCACAAGCCAGAAACCTGGTCATTAGTTTCTTTACTCCTGCTTTTTTCCTCATCACTAAATTTTGTCTATAATCTGCAGAATGCATCTCAAATATGCCCACTTTCTGCCATCCCCACCCCAAATCACTGCCACATCTAGATTACACAATAGATAGCCTTCTGCTCTTCTTTCAGTACAACTTACAGTGGCAGGGAACTCGTAAAATACACCGGACCATTTATTCTCCTGCTTAGAAGCCTCAGGAACTGTACTGTTGTAAACTAAAGGCCTTGCTCTATCTCTGTGAGACTGTGACATCTTAAATATATACTTTGGTCTTTGTTCCTGGCTCCTGGCCAGAACTCCTAAAACCCTTGTAATTTCTGCAATGCAAAGAGCACAGGAGGGCCTTTTGTGATCTATTTGGGTCACTACTAGCTGAAACAGCTCAGCACTATAAGTACAAGGAGTATCTTTTGTTAGTTAGAACAAGCCCCTTTCAAACACTGCAGTTAAAGAGGTGAATTTTGGAAAGTCCTGAAAGATAGGGCGGGGCACCAGGAGAAACAAACCAAGAGACACAAGGCTGGGGGGATTTCAGTCCTACCCCCTGAACTCTGGGGAGGAGAGACCAAAGGTGAGTCAATCGCTAATGAACGACTTGATTATGGTTGTACAATGATGCTGCCATAAAACCCTGAGGAGTTCAGAGAGCTTCTAGTTAGAGAACAGGCAGACGCCCTTCTCCACAGGCCAGCAGCTCCCATGCTGGGGACCCTGGGCTGCACTGCTTCATCTAGCTGTCCCTCTGTATCCTTCCATATGACTGCCATAGTAAGTCAGGAATAGTGTAGCATGTTGCCCTGGATTCTGAGGCAGTGGCAATTTTCTTGATTTATAGCCAAGGTGCAAAGACCCACTACTTGTGACTAGGGCTTTAAGTGGGGGACAGACTTGTGGGGCTGAGCTCTTAACATGTGGGGTCTGTGCTAACTCCAGGCAGTGTCAGAGCTGAGGTAAGTGACACCCAGGCTGTGACTGTAGAGAACTAGAGGTCTGGTGTGCCAAGTCCTCAAGGCTGGCATCGAGGTGTTGGCTGTATTAGTCTTCCAGCCTGCTCCCTGTAAGTCTGCCTTCCACCTGCCTCTGCCCTCAGTCCTTGAACAGGTTCTCTGCTTTGCCCACTGTCTTCGCAGCTGGTTCCTTAACACTCTTTGTAAAGAGCTCACTTCTACAAGATCCCTCATTAAGGCCACTCCCAACTCAGCTGCATAAAATGTGACTGTCCTAGCTCTTTGCCTAGGCTGGTATCTGATTTCCTCTTTCTCCCACAGGAGATGATATCTGAATTTTCTATCAGGACCTACATAAGGATTTGTGGTAGAAAGCCAGGAGAATCAGAATTACTGCTTTCAATCATCTGCAGAGCTTTCACATGAAAAAAAAAAAGTCATCAGAAGCTCCAGAAGGAAACCTTGCACAAGAGAAGATGCAGTAAGACATTTCTATTGGACCTCAGGTAAAAATCACTAAGAATTACAGGTGTCCATCCACCCTCAGGCAGTTGATCAGGTGGAGGCCAGCTGCACTCAAGAGCATCTACAGTTGCTTGGCTTTCTCTACTTCCGACCAAAGCAGCTCTTCTACCCTGATCCACTTCCTGCAGAAAGCTAAAGGTGGAAGAGGGAGCAACCTTCAGGGAAGCCCTGGAGAGCTTGTGTTACATTAAGACAGCACTGAGACCAACAAACATCAATATTTAGATTTTATTCAATTTTATTAAAAATTAAAACCACAAAAACAAAACCTAAATGTACACACAAGAGAACAGGGAAACAGTCAGGTAGAAGACACAGGGTGATGGTGAGGGGTTGCTGCTGGCCCAGGACCGTCCTTGCTACTGGGTCAACCCTCCCCATCTGCATCCCTGCAGGTGGAAGGAAGCCAGCCAGGCCTGCTACTCCCGAGAATGGGGGCTGGTGCTCACTTCTGCCCACAGAAGCCCAATGAAACCTCAGGACAGAGCTCAGAAACCCTTGAAGCTGCTCTTTGGCAAAAGTGGCAGAAGCAACCAGGACTGGAACTCACACCAAGAGGCAACAGTTCTCATAACACCCTGAATCCACTCAGCTCCCAACAGGCTGCAGACTCCTGAACACAAGCGACTCCATCCAAGGCACTGGGCGGAGACAAACTCCTGTGGGCAGGTGGTGGGCTGCTGAGTGGCTCTAAAAAATGCTTGTGAAGTATGTCTGTCCACCTATGCTGGCAGGAAGCAGAAGAGGATACCATCTTTTCTTTTTTTCTTTTTCATTAAAGAAATAAATACCTTCATTCTCAGTCCAAGCCCAAGCCCAAGAAGTGTGGGGCAACAGGCCCCACCACACCCAGGCACTGGGGGTCCAGTCTCCTGTCTGAGCAAAGGGAGAACTGCCCTGGTCCCCCCCAGAAGCAGAGCAGCTGTGGGTGCTCAGAACTGCTGCAGGATCATTTTCCGCTTCAGGTCGTGGCTGAACTTGTTCATCCTGAAGAGCTCGCTGTCGTAAAAAGCGGAGAGGTTGTGGATGTTGATCTGACGAGCCTGAAAGGTCAGGTAAGCCATGAGTCGGGTTCTGGTGCGAGTCTAAAGTGTGTCCGTCAGACAGGACAGGCTGTCTTTGCAGGATGGGGCAGGAGCCACAGCCTGAATCAGGGTCTGGGTCTGGACTCAGAGCTTGAAATCTTAGCTCCACCAGTTCCTGTCACCTGTGAACTTGGCCAAGCTACCTGAGGGGTGCCAGCAACAGAGCACCTCTTTTTGGCTGCTGTCAAGATTATAAGAGCACAGAAAGGTGTTCAGCACATAACAATAAATGGCTGTCACTCCAGCCCTCCCAATTAATGACAGAGAAAGGACTTTTCCGCCCAAAGGTGAGTGGCGGAGCCCCAAGTAGCAAGCCCCATTCTCCCTTCCAAGCCCCTACCTTGTCCACCAAGTCCTTCTCGGGCACTTCAATTGTGTCCTGCTGGGCCCCAAAGCGGTTCCGTTGATATGTCACCTGCTCTGCCACTAGCTGCTTCAGTATGAAGAGCAATAGCTCGTTGTTATCACGCCGGAAGGAAAGGTAGCGGGCGAAGGTCTGCAGGGCAGAAAAACCAGTCAACCAACGTGGCTCCCGGGCAGGACCCTGAAAGCGACTACAGTGGCCAGAGCAGCCAGCTCAGGGACATGCTGCAGCCCGGGGAGAGCGCAACACCGGGGCCGTGGGCTGCCCACTGTGGGGCGGCCTCGGACCGCTGCCGCGCTCAGCCCCACCCACCTTCCGCATGCTGCGCATGACGCTGAACTTCTGCGTGTCGATGAAGCTCTCCAGCATCACCCGGATGGCCATGTTGACGTCATCCTCGATCACGTAGTCCCGCAGGTGGATGCGCGCGTGGGCCTCTGCCATGCGGATCATGGACTCGATGTGCCGCACGGTGATGGGGATGCTGCCTGTGGCCTGGGAGGCAGACAGCGTCAGATCTGGCCAGAGGGGCCAGAGGGGCAGGGAGACGGGGAAGTGGCCCCGCCGGCGGCCTGGACACTCGTCCAACAGCCCTGCAGGGGAAGCGCGTCCCCGAGCTGCCGGCAAGCGCACACTCAGGCTCCTGCTGGATGCCTATGGTGCCCTGGAGGCCGCTGCTCTGGCTGCCTGCCCCTCAGGGGTGCCCCCACCCCGGAGTCCACGAGCTCGCAGCAGCTGTATCGTCACTGTCCTGTACCAGCCCTGCAGGCTCCAGTGTGTGTGAAAATAAAGCTGCCGTTGGCTTCTATGAAAAGACTTGATCAAAAAGAGATAAAAGTATCTGTCTAGATTAGCAGTGGGCAAACAGGACAATCTCTAAGAATTCTGTGTCCAGCTGTTTGCAGCTGCCTTTAAATTCTCAGGCCTTTATAAAAGAACCAAAGCCCAAACCAGTGCAGACACATGCTCTCTGGGTGACATTTAGGTAAAGTCAACCTGGAATTGAATCGGTCAGTGGCCAGTCATCAGACGCAAGCCCTGCCAGAGCGCCAAGAGCCCACACGTGTAAGTGGCGTGGGATCTTCCTCTGTGTCTGGGAGCTTCCCTGTCTGCGCCTGACCCTCACCAGGGACTCTTTCCTCAGGTCGCTATACATCTTGGCCACTTTGTCCTGGTCCATCTGGTTGAGCTTCGGGCGGACCTTCTCCTTGGCGTAGATGATGTACTTCTTCAGGACCTCCTGCGGCAGGGGCTCCACGCCGTACGTGTTGGGCATGGCTGGCAACGGGGCATCATCAGGGCCCAGGCCCTCCTCCCTGTTGCTGGGGTGGTGTCTGACATGGCTGCCGACCACAAAACGGGCCAGCATCTCATCCTAGGACAGGCGGGAGAGAACAGGTCACAGGGTGAGTCTTGTGACCTGGCTTGAAGTCAGTGCCAGCAGTTATGTGCTGAGGAGAGTGTCCTCGCGGCCACAGGAACCCTGCAGCTCTACATGCTGGCACCCCCGGTGCCAGCACACACAGCTGAGCCCTGGGAAGAGCACATCTCCTAGTGAGGGGAGAGGAGACACTTTTTAAAATTAACTACAAAAAATTACAGGTGCTATAAAGAGAAAATAGGCCAACCAGCTCCAGGCCCTGGAGACTCCCCAGCCAAGGTGCCAGAGCGCCTCCACAAACCAACAGTCCAGAAGAGCCTTCCAGGACGAGAAAGGGCGATGTGGAAGGGTGGGGGAGATGGGCACAGAACCCATCCCGAGAGCGGCTGCCCTGGGAAGGTGGTGGCGTTTGTGCCAGGGCAGCTGCAAGCAAGTTTTAAGGAGGGGCACGATATGATAAATGATGGGCTGGCTTCCACCACAGGACAGAGTGGGCAGGAGGGGAGGCCAGGAGACCCGTCAGTGACAGCAGCACTGCAGGTCAGAACAGGAGGGGCTGAGACTCAGGCTGCAGCAGGGGAGCAGCGGGAGGTGAACCCAGACGACAGGCCAGGACTTGGGGATGCATGTTATGCTGGGCGAGGGGCCGGCAAAGGAAGAGAAATGCGGGTCGAGTCTGGTCACTGCCGTACTCCTGCCAGTGCTGGGTGCATGCTGGCCAAGGCTTTTCCCGACCCCAGGCATGTGGCTGTACCTGGACGGGGTCCACTGTGTCCCTCACCACACACAGGACGTCAAATCGAGAAATGATGGGCTCTGTGAGGTCCACGTTTTCCGAGAAGGTCAGTGAAGGGTCGTAGCGGCCTCCTGTTAACACAAAGGAACCTCCCCATCAAGACTCGGGCTTTCTGGTCCTGCCTTCTGGGCTGGAAGAGGCTCCCACCCCACGTCATTTCGGTAAGGGGACAGACTGGCGCGGGGATGGCGGCGCAGTGCCTGCTGTCTCTCAGGACTCCCCCCGCAGCTGCCTGTGACGGCCTTGAGCTGGAGAGCTGAACTGTCTCCTGGGGACAATCTCCAAGAACAGACGGGCCGGCGCGCCAGGGCTCTACCCACCAGCGCAGCCACCAGCAGTCCACCCAGCCTGGACCACAGCTCAATTCTTCTGTCCTCTGAGGACAGCCTCAGTGCTCTGAGATGTGGCTCAAGGAAAAACACCCCGAGTCCTGCTTCTGTTCCCCTCTTCTGGCAAGAAACACAGAAGAGAGGGTCACTTTCTGTGCCTCAGTCCCCTCCTCGATCTGTGACAAGATTAGTGGGCGCTGGGGCTCCCGACCCCAGGGCAGGTCCCCAGCCCGGTCCCCTGTCGGCCGGTGTGGCACCCGCGGTACCTATGGGGTTGGCTGCGGCAATGACGGTGCAGCGTGCCTGCAGGGAGGTGACGATGCCCGCCTTCGAGATGGAGATGCTCTGCTGCTCCATGGCCTCGTGGATGCTCGTTCGGTCCTGGTCGTTCATCTGCAAGAGACTCAGATCATCCTTCTGGCCTGTCTCTTCCCACCGCTGTCTCTCCGATGAGGCCCCAGTGCTCCACTGAAGGCTGAGCCACACCCCAAGTCCCCCACAAGGCCCAGGACCCACCTTGTCAAATTCATCGATGAGACACACCCCTCTGTCAGCCAGCACCAGGGCCCCGGCCTCCAGGGTCCACTCCCTGCTGACCGGGTGCCGCTGGACATATGCGGTGAGGCCCACAGCTGAGGCCCCCTGCCCGGTGGTGAAGATGGCTCGGCTGGACACCTTCTCCACATACTTGAGGAACTGGGACTTGGCGGTGCCCGGGTCTCCACACAGGAGCACGTTGATGTCACCTCGCACCTTGTGCTTGCCGCCTGCAGGGGCAGGGAATAGGCGGCCTGATGACACTGATTTCTCTGCCAGTTTATTACACATGGCCAAGGAACGATCTCTCTAGGACCAGCCATTCCACTCCACTCTGAACAAAACCCAGAGGAAGCAAATACTAGGAATCTAGAGGAAACACAACACTAGGAAGCATTTTTGTAAATGAAAAAAAGACGGACAGCTCACACTCTCCAACTAGAGTCCCTCAGGACGCTGTGCTGTGCGGACCCTCACACAGCGCTTGCCAGAGGGAACTTGCTGACTCACTGACACGAAACACCACCAGACACACTCACGAGGGAGGAGCAGCGAGCTACACACGGTCTTCATCAGCGACACTAATATGTACAGGACGCTTGTAAATAGGAACGTGCGCGCTGGGGGACCCTGTTTTCTGTATGAGTGTGCACGACTACGTGAAACATGACAGAGGGGAGTGGACACCCTCAGGGATGCCAGGCCCCTAGAGGGAGGATTAGAAGGGCGGTCGCCAGTGACTTTAGCCTTTCGTGACTTTTTATGATGGAAGAATATGACATGCTCATCCATACCCTCTTATCATGGGTAAACTTAACTTTCGAAGAGCATTTTAAAAGTACAACAGAGGCAAAGACAAATTTGCTCAACTCATAAAGGAGGGCAGTTGTAGTGACAGGACCACCAGCTCCTGGACATGACCCAGGGCCAGGCCGCAGGCCCTGCACCCGCCCACCCATGCTGACCAAGCCATCTATGAATGGCTTCTCTACAGCCAGAAAGCCCGGCTTTGATCCAGGGTCGCGCCTCGTCCGGCACCAGCGTGCTGGCTCCCACTGCAGTCCTTGCAGGAGAGGTGGGGTAGCTGGTGCTGCTCACCTGGGTTTTTGGGCTCCCCTCCAAACAGAGCCAGCGCCAGGCCTCTCTTGATGTCTTCGTGACCGTAGATGGAAGGAGCAATACTGGCAAAGATCTACAAGAAATGGAGGGAGAGCGTGAATGGAAATAAGAGCTTCCATTCTGGAGTCTGGGTCACCCCCTTCGCCCCCCAGCACAGCACATCACCCTGTGCCTCAGTCCCGGGAATGGGGCCACCTTCAGCCCTATCGCGCCCACTGCAGGGCGGCTCTGCGTGCATCAGCCTTTGACACTGGGCCCTGCAACAGCTGGCTCTTCCTGAGAATCACGGAACTTTAGAGCTTAACAAAACCCTGGTCCGACCTCTGCTTTGTCCTCTCAGTAAGGACTATCCTTGCGTGCAGACCAAGAACAGAAGTGGTCAAGACACAGGCCCAGGAGACTGCGTGTGGGAGGGCGAGACTCTTGACAATAACCACGGTACCGCCCCTCACGCTGGCCAAGGCCTTCATAAGCCTGTTTCCTCAAATGGAAACGAGAGGAAACTATTCACAGAGTATGTGAGCTCTGACTGAGGCCTTGAGGTAAGTGCCTGGCTCCGAGGGGCTGTGACAGGTAAAGTAGGGCGCACCTAGGCGACGGTGCATGAGGAAGCATTTCAGATGGAGTGTCACTGAACCCGTTCTCCACTTCTCTGTGTGAGAGGCCAGGCAAATTTATATATATATTTTAAATAAGTTTATTTTTACATCATTTTGTACACTCAATTGCAATCCCCGCAGGTTTCCCATCACCGAGTCACCCATGTGCCATCACCATAGTCCCATGCACTTCCCTCCCCACCCCCCACCCCCGTTTTTGATCCCATTCCCCACTCCACCCCCACAAAATGTCTCTGGTATATGGCTGCTCATTATTCTTACTATTTTCTCGCCTGAGACCAGGCAAATTTTAAAGATAAAGCTGAAGTAAAGAAATGCCTTGCTGACTGGAGAGGCCTCCACCCCTACCTATGACACAGGTGTGGTTTTAAGATTCTCAACTCCCTGCCCTCCATGTGGAGGGCTCCGCAGCAGCAGAGGGGTGCACACACTGCCCCCGACAGGGCAGGCCCAGGGGGCGGGAACACAGAAGAGCGATACTCAGCTGGCATCAGGGAGGAGTTCCACCCCAGGGGCCGGCGTGCTGTGCTGTCCCGCCCCGCCACCAGCCGTGCTCTGTCCCCCAGGGGCATGTAGACCAGAGAAATCCAATTCTGGGAACTGGAGCTGGGAGGCCGCGTTTATCCCGAGCATGGCTACTCTGCTCCCTGGCCAGACTGCTGCGTGACCTTCTGAACAGGACCTGCCAGGGCCGCTGGCGCGGGGCCGGGAAGGCTTCCTGCCGTCACTTTATGCAGTAAGTTAGGAATGGGGGTCCGTTTCCACCACACGTACACTTCTGCTGGTTCTAAAATTTACTGCAAAACCCAGCCCGGGAGAGGCAGTCCAGCCACATGGCTGACAGTGATCCTATCTCAAAATACTATTTCCCATGGAAAGGAAGGAACACTTCCAGGGCTTCTCAGAGAAATGGCTGACTTCAGGTGTGGAGCAGGCACCGTCCGAGAACAGCCTGCCTTGTCTTAGGGGCCCACAGTGCCTGGACCTCAATGAGGCGAGGTCTGTTAACTTGCAGTGACACTCACAGTTCACCTCTGAATGGGCCCTAGAGATTATGTTGAAAACAGGTGAACAAAGGGAAATGGCCAAGCATTTTATCCTGCTTTTCTAGAGGGGCTCTACAGATCGAGTCACGAGTCGATGGTGTTTCTCTTTATGGAAGTGCCAGGTAAAATGAACAGACTCGGAACTGGAAGGCAGCACTGCGCAGACGCCACTGAATAGAAGGGTTAGCCCAGGGCCACCAAGGGCTGCTGTCTTCAGAGACCAGCACCTGTGACCGGGGCCTGGAGGAAGTTCACCATCACCTCACAAATCGTCTTGCTGTGCCCCGACCCAAAGATAAAATAAATTATACCTGAATGTGATCAAACCTCTGGATCTGGCTGCCAACTTATAGAATACTGACAGAGGAATAGATATTCATCAAGGACATAATCAGCAACACCTCAACTGTGGAAAACAAATGACCTGATTTCTTCCACAAAAAAAATTCAAGAAAAAGAGATGAAAAGAAGACCCAAAGATGACGAGGCTCTAGGACAGATCAGCCAGTCACGGCATGTGGACCTTACTTGGCTACCGACTCTAAAGAAATGGTTTGAAAAGAAAGTAAGCCATGAGGGAGATGGGAACGCCAACCAAATACGTGACGTCGGGGTGGCTGTCATGCGCGGCAGGGTTCACTGGAGGGGCCTTTTCAGCAACACGCAGGGGTGCAGCTATGAAGTGCTGTGTCTGGAATTTGCGTCAAAGTAACTGAAAGGGGTCGAGGTGGAGATACCGCAGCTAAGATGGGCGAAGAAGGACAGGCTGGGCGACAGATAGACAGTCATTACTCACTCCTCATCTGTGTTTATAACCTGTAGTAGAGTCTGAGAGCAGGCCCAGTCCACAGACACGTCCTCCCACGCTGCCGCATCTGCAGAGGGAGCGTGATGCCAAGGGCAAGTGGCCACAGTGACGTGGCCGTGAAACTTGGTCAAGCCCCATGCCTCAGTCTACTCACTAACAGCTACACGGCACCTCTGTTTTGAGGCGTTGTCATTATCCAAAAATTAGCCGGACAGGGCCGAGCAGGTACTAAATGCTTGGCATATGAAATGATTTTCTCATGAAACGTGCATCTGTGCTGGGCAAGAGTCCTCTGCGGATGGCCGAACTGCCCATACATCTTGAGGGTCTGCCAAGGCTGCCAGCCCCTGAGTTCCCTTTATCCAGATGATTTCTCAGGGCTATTTTTATAGCAAACACCCTAGCAGGATGAGATAATGTCTCCCTCCAGGGCCAAAGCAGCAGGCACCCCCACTCAGTTTCTCCCCTGCAGAGCCACTATCGGGGTGTGAGCACCCCAGCATTGACCCAGTGACAGCAAGAATAAGTAGCAGGCCAACTGAATGGCTGCTGCGTAGGTCAGATCAGACTTGCCAGGGAACAGCCCTGCACCTGGACTGGAAAACACCTAGGCTATTTTATTTATCCCTCATAACCCAGAGCTCACACTCTAAAATCTCTACAGGCTCTGTCCCCGCTGCCCCTCAGCAAGTCCACCCCTAAATGGAAACAAATGCCCACGGCACAGCCACCCTGAGGGCGTCTGGTGTGCCAGGCTCATCCTACTGCCTGGCTCTTTATGCTTCTTACCTAGGTGCTGCTACCAATCTTGTCCAAGTCATCTTATACCGTAAAAATAACAGCTCCTTGCGGAGCACCTCTTGACGTTCACCTGCACAGCAGACGCAACACCAGCACTGCTTTCCTGCCTCCCTCCGCGGGGTAGAGGGCGGCACATCCGAGCTCGCTAAGAAGCAGGGCAGAATTCAGCCCAGGAAGTCTGGCTGCAGACTGCTCGATTCTCCTCCTTGGTCCTTGGAGCATTCAGCCCGCCAGTGGCCAGCGCCCACGAGAGGCAAGCAGGGTTATTACCATGAGCTCATCGGCTGCACAGAGCAGGGCGGAGGCTGGACACACACCCTGTGTTCGAGGGCAGCTGCCACTCAGCGGCCACTGGACACAGAGCAGGATGGACACAGGCCTGTAAGGTCAAGCCCAGGGCATCCAGGCCACACAAAAACTTCTATTTTGAAAGAGTGATACAAATTCAAAAAGAAAACAAAGCAGACCATGCACCAATCGACCCAGGTCTGTCAGCTGACTGGAGGAGGCCACCATTTTTGAATCTTATTGGTCATTCACTTTGTCCCCCAAATGTCTGAGAGTGCCTGGCACACTGCTATTCAAGTCTGGTAAAAAACACTCATAAAGTGCACTGAAAGATGGGGCCCTTTTTGGGAAGGTCCAGACCAAGCCTCCCCGCTGTCTTCCTGCCCTTACTTCCCAGGGCCAGAAAGGCCTCACGTGCAGAGATCCCAGACCTTGGCATCGTCTTCTCCAGCCAAGGCATCTCAGTCAGAGAGGTAAGTGACAGTGAGCAGCCAGCACCTCGAGTTCCACACAGGTCTGCCTGCTGCCACAGCCTGACATAGAAGTCAGCCAGACAACAAGGGAAGGAGGCTCTGAGGCAGGCAGACAGCGGGCAGAGAGCACAGCAGGAGGGCAAGGCCCAGGCCCAGGGCATAAATCCAAGTATGTTTTGTCTACTACAGGCCCCCCAGGCTCCTCAATCAACACGGGGGAGAGACTAGTGGCTAAAAATGGCAGCGGAGGCGAAGAGGGTGTAGGCTAAGACTGTTCCCGAAGCACACCGCTCCTGACACGTGAGAGGGCGGAGACAAGCTGAGGTGCGCACAGGACACGGGCAGCCCGGCTGCTCCGCACCGGAGTTCAGACACTGCTGAAACCCTGTAAACGCACCCGTCACATTAGCACTGATTTTCCCGAGGGTGGCGAGCAGAAGGGGGGAGCACCGAACGATGCTTCCTTTCCTGCTACTGGTCTCACCTCTGCTTCTTTGTCTCCTCACTTATTATCAGAGCCCTGATGGCACGAACCGACCTGCTCACCAAGGTCCCAGGACCTGGCACCAGAAGGCAGTCACCGTCTGCGTGTGTACTAGTGAAAGGGAAGCTCTTGTCCTCCTGAGGCTGGAGAAATACCTGCTTCCCTTGCAGATACCCCAGATCTTGGCAGACCGAAAAAGGCGGCCCAGACAGGTGAGAGAGAATGAGCATGTCAGATATGCCCCCCCACCAGTTCCCACCGGGAAGGTGGGGCTCCCGTTCACTAAACCGGCCGGCTGGAAACAAGTGATTGACCCCAGCTGAGCTAGGGCTCTCTAGGAAGAGCAGGGTACAGGTGGGAGGGGGTCAGCCCCCTCCCCTGCGTTAAAGGGCAGATAGGAGGTAGGTTGGGGAGGAAGAGGGAGGAACTGTGAGCTTGTGAAGAAAACTCAGTGACCTTGGAGCAGGGTGCCTGCGTGGTGGAAAGAGCAGAGCACCTGTTGACTGGAACCTGAGCATTCCGTTTGATTAGAGAAACGAGTGCTGGCAGGAGGCTGACAGCCAGTGACACCTGTATGGCACGAGTGATGCCAGCTCCAGGCCTGCCTAATTCTCACCACAACCCTCCCTTAACAGGTGGAGTTGGGGCTACCAGCGGCACACTGTCAACCTTCAGTGAGGACAATCCCCATGCCACATCTCTTGCTTCCCCCAAAACACGAGGCCCCCGCAAGGTAAGTTTACTGAGCCGATATTGGAAATGAAAATAAGGGAGCCCCATTTCCAAGAACAGGGAGTTAAGAGTGAATGCGGAGGCAGCTGGGACACCCCAAGGCCTACGCCACAGGCCACAGCACCCCCAGCAAGCCCGCAGCCGCCTCAGAGCTCCAGCCTGACTTCCACCTACCTTCTCCCCGATCTGCTGGTCCTTGGAGAGACTGATGATCATCTTCACATCCTCATCAGTCAGCTCCCCCACTGCGACTTTATTGTCCTTCTTGGCTACGTGGTTGGCCAAGATGACGGTGGCAAAAACAGGGAAGCCATTGGTGGTGTTGAGGGAGCCATCATAGTTGTTGTGGTAGATGCCAGTCAGCTCCTGGGGAGGGAGGGACCAAGAGGTGAGCAACCCAGGCCAGAGGTGGGAGCTGGGCCCACCTCCACGCTGGCTGCATCCAGTTTCCTCAATGTCAAGCCCTCAGCCACCCGCAGACACGAAGACAAGTAACTCCTCAAAGTCGAAGTCAGATTACCCCAACACCCAACTGGCCAGTCCACCTTGAGCGCCAGCTCCTCTTCCAGGGCTCTGGGACAGCTCAGCAGACTCCCTTGCTACCACCGACCTTCTCCCACCACAAATGTTCCCAGTTTCCATGGCAACTCGGCCCCTCCCGGCCACTTACGATCTCATCTCCCGGCTTACAGCTGTCCACCAGGTCGGCGAGGAGGATAGCGTCCTTGGAGCGGGGCAGCCGGCCGGCCGCCACTTTGCCGGGGCTCTCCTGAATGCGGATGCGCTGATAGTTCTGATAGACGGTCTGTGCGAGACAGACAGACAGACAGTCACAGGGGCCTCCCCTATGGCAGGCAGTGCTGTGCTCCTCTGAGCACTGATCAGTGTCACCTGGCCTCGACCACAGGCCACAAGGGGGCCCGGGAGTAGTGCGTCACCGACTGGGAAACGGGCCCCAGCCACTGTGACCAGAGTGCAGGCCCCCACCCCTGCCTCTACCCTCTGGACGTCCACGTGCTCAGTGATTCTACGCAAGTGTGTCCTCTGCAGAATGGGTGCTAAGCCGCTCGGCAGCCTCACGGTGGGATTAATCAAGGCACACAGGCCCCCACTTAAGCCAGCGCCCAGCAGTGGGGAGCGAGTCACCCGAGTGTGGACTGCACCACGTCACAAGCACCGTGCGGTGCAACTTTCACCTGTCATTTCTCTAGTTTCCTAGAAAAAATGACATTACTATTGCAGCCAAAAGCACACATTCTGGATCAAAACGCCTGAGTTTTAACCTTCTGGGTCACTTTTTGGGTCAGTGACCTCACAGACAAAATGGGATCAACAACAGCACCTGCCTTATGGCTGTGACGGAGAACAGGTAACATCATCCACCAGCTGACGCCTGGCCACGCCCTCCAGAAATGCCGGCTACAGCTATCCATCCTATACTATACTAGTTCCTGAGAAGCAGCGCTTGCCGGTCTGCTCGTGGGCGAGATACTCTTGGGAAGGGAGAAGCTGTAAAGGAGGTCAGGCCGGACCGGGAGGGGAAGACTGGGCGAAGGCACGCTCAGCCACGTCCAGCCTCGCAGCTCTTCCTCCAGACAAGGCTTACTTGGGCTTGCAGACCAGTCAGGTTTAGGCTGCCGCTAGCATGTCTCCCACGCGTCCCTGCTGGGAAGGCCGCTCCAGGTAGGGCATTTCTCAGAGGGACAGTGTGAAAAGGTAGCAGCCAAAAAGGGAGGTGTGGAGTCCAGGCATCCACCGAAGGTACTAGAAGACCCTGACTTCACCGGATTAAGCCATTTTAGTACGAAGGCATGTGGGGGCTGTTTGGTGTCTGAGGGGTTAAGGGGCAGGGATGCCTGCATATGACAGGGACCCCAATAAAAGGCCCAAGAGAAGAAAGCCCTGGATGTATCAAGGGGAAGTCTGGGTGGACTGCAGGGACCATGTGAGTGATAGGTCGGAGAGCAAGTGTCCTGTTAGGGGGCAGCCAGGAAGGAAGAGTTCAGTTTGGCCAGACCCTACCGTTTTTCAAGAGATGCCATAAACTGACATTTGAAACAAAAATCTGGCTTGTAAATACTGCCTGAAATCTTGAAATTGCTGTCAGGCCAAACCACCGGGAAGACCTGTGCGCTTTGGACCTCGCCGTGACAGCACGTCAGCCAGCAGCAGGTGCGTGAGAGCTCACCTCCTCCATATTGACTTCGAAGGGGCCGGCTGACTGGCACTCAGGGCAGGACCCCGGCTTCACCTCCTGGTTCTGGGACTGACAGAAGGGCCCCAGCACAAAGCTGCACTTGTTACAGTTGTACTTGACCATGCTGAGCTGGGGCAGGACGCCTGTGCAGCTGGTCACTACCCCACTGGTGCGGATCAGCTGGTTCAGGTGCAGCTGCCTGCAGAGACAAGTGGAAGCCTCAGTCCTAGTGCCCCAGACCAGCCCCACGCCCTCAGGAGGTCAGGGCTGCCCACGAAGGTGCTGTTTAGGGACCCCAGCGACCTGGGCCTTGGTCACCAGCAGTCCCATCAGACCGCACCCTGTCAGAGCCAGAACTCATGGGGTCAGGGCTTTCTGTGGCCACCGCTGCTGGCCTGCTCTGGCCAAAGTCTCGAAGGAAGTCTGAGCTGGGGACCTGGGCCCTCAGTCCCCACAATGCCCTCGGCTTACCTCAGCGAGCGCAGCTCCTCCACCAGTGGCAGGTGGGAGATGCGCACGTGGATGTGGCTGGCAATGCGGTCGTACTTGGGGTACATGGCCAGCACAACCTCCAGGGCAGCCTCGTCAAAGATCTGCAGCAGCTCTGCCGGCGCTTCAGGGAGGAAGTAAGCCAGCACGTGCTCCCTGGCCGCCAGGTCTTCGTAGTTCACCACCAGACTCTCTCGGTTCTCTAGAGCAAGGGGGGGCGACTGAGCACTGGTCTGAGGAGGCGAAGGCCTTCCCCCCATCCCTTACTTAAGCCAGAAAGCCTGGCTCTCACTTCTAAGTCTTTAGCTGCTGAGCCTCAACTTAATCTGTAAAATGGGGGTGTCACGGTATACAGGCCGCTGGGGGGATTAAATAATGCATGCAGAGTGCCTAGCATGGGAGAGCTGCCACCTCCAGCTGCTAACCAGGCTGGGGGAGACCTATGAATAAACGGTGTCAGACAGACACACGGAAGTGAAGGGGACAGTGGAAACCGACGGTGCATGCCTCCTTTGAAAGAACTCCTGCCATATCAGAAAGTGTGCTACTTTCTAATCCAAGTGATAACCAGATCTTGCCGCCCCCTGTGGTCCAGACATGGCCCCTGCACACTACTGGGCTGGAGTGAAGGCACATTTGCATTTGTCCTAAAGACAAACTCAGGTTTCAGGTTCTGGCTCCTGCTGGGCTCTGGGTTAGTGGTTAATACTCCCCATTCATGTCTCCAGTAACATGTCATTAAAAGGCCAAAACGAACAGATTTCTGGGGGAAGGGAGAGATTCTGGAGGGCGGATGTGCACGCAGAAGCCCACCTTTGCACATGTCACTGATGCGCTCCTTGAAGACGTTGTGGCCGTGACTGTCCACGTGGGTGCGCAGGAAGTTCTTGAACCGGTGGTGGATCTCCAGCCGAGGGCCGGCCATGCTCACCCACTCACGCACAGAGTGGCCCTTGAGGTCCTCCAGGTTCTCAATGCTCTCGATCATCTCCTCGTCCTCCTCGCCATCCTCCGTGGCCCGCTCCACCTGGCGGCGCTTCCGGGAGGGGCGCTCCTCGTCCTCCTCGTCGCTATCTGGGGGAAAAGGACACCCTCGAGTGAAGTCTTCCCAGGCCTCCACCCCCCTGACCCTCCTTTCCAGCTTCCCACGGTGCTGCAGCTGTAACCTGTGGCTGAAACCAGAAGACAGGTACAGGTGGCGCCCAAAGAAGGGCTGCTGGTGAGAATAAACAGCCCGAGGGAAAATCTGAAAAGTTGAATTTGGGGAGGGGCCACTGATGAGTAATGTAAGGGACTGTAGGAGGGGCGCGGATTCAGTCTCTAGGATTCAAGGTTTCTGGATCATCAGCATTTGGGGTCAGCAGACTGCAGCCCCACTGAGCCAGTCTTCCAGAAGGCTGTTGTGGGCCTCTGAAGGTGGAGGCCTCCAGGAGCCCACCTCAGAGAAGAAAAGGTTGGAGGCTTTGCACTCAGCCTAGCGACCGAAACTTCCTGGCTGTGCTGCGGTTACATCCTGACAGAGGTGCCCGGGGCCGGGCACTTTGCTGAGCTGCGTGACTGTGGCTGTTGTTGGGTGGTTCGGCCACTGCAGCTGCTGTCTTGAGTGTCGCATGTCTGGGACTGCGCTGGGGCATCCCAGTAGCTCTGGCAGTGACTCCCGTTTATATTCTGTTGTCTTCATGAGTCAGAACCTGGCCTAGGGCCTGCCTGCCACAAGCTTCAGGTCAGCAGAGGCAGGAAGACACCCTTTTAGTTGCTTTTGTTTAGGACTGAAAACATACACCGCTTCGGGTGAGGCAAAGGCCATTTTGGACTCAGTAATTCTTTGTTTTGCCCCAGTTTGTTAAATAAGTCCCACTGTCGTTGTTCCGAGCCTGAGTAGTCTTACAACCGTGTGCACAGGTGAAGAACTCAGGTGGTGGCCCATAAACTATTTGGACAGTATCTCTGGCCAGTTTTGGTGCCCCTGCCGCCCTGTATCAAAGCCGGGAAGGCCTTCGGGGTGCAGCATCTGAACCTACCGTACAGGAGCCCACGGCGCATACGGCCCAAGCCCCGGCCAGCCTCCCGGTCTCGCTGCCGCATGGCCCGCTCTGCCGCCTCCCTCTGGCTGGCCGTCAGCTCCTCTACATCCTCGTCGTCTAGGGCCAGTCCCTCGGCCTCGTAGGCGTCCAGCTCTGGGATGGCACGGTAGTCTCTGAGAGAACACCAGATGGACCTTGTTAGTACCCTACCCAGGAACGGGGCCTGCCCCTCCAGAAAGGAAACAGAAGAGGCTCCAAGGTGTATCCAACAGATTATCGGTGTCTCTACACACAGCGAGGGGTGACAGACATGCTCTGAATCTGGATTGGGCTGCCTTATGGGGTAGGTTTATACTATATAAACTATAGTTCAGAAGAGTTAGTTACTTTTAAGGTCACGGCAACAAGGTCCAGTTTAGCCCTGCTAATCCTTAGCCAGCCTTGGTTCTCTGGAGTAAAGAAGCAGAGGATGGTAGAGGCAGAAGACAGAGGGCAGCGAGGCATCCTGCTGGGGAGGGTTGTGGTGGCCTGTGCTAGACTCTCATACACAAAAGCTTGGGCCCCTAAGTAGAAAACGGAGGAGTACAACCACGTCACTTCCGCGAGGCACCTGGCTCTCACACTGTCTACTTGTTTAGATGGGGGAAAGCGGCAGAAGTCTGACCTCGCTCACTGGCAGAGTCAAATTCACAATACCAGCACAGCACCCTGTGACCTTCGGTGCACCAGAAGTGTCAAAGTACCTAACGCAGGGGCTGGTACCATCAGGAGTTAGGCCCATCAGCTGTTTGGTGGAGTGAACTGAATCTGGATTGATCAGATTACCTCACCCACCCACCCACCAGTTTCTTTTAGGTTGCAGAAAGGCCTAGGTGCTGACATCCTACTCCTCCCCACTCCACTTCCCAGTATGCATCTCCATCCCAAATTAAAAGACTCTGCTTTTCCCTTGGGGGACATCTCATAGAGTTGGGGGTCAACCAGGCCTTAGGGGCTAGTTTAGGTTAGATACAACTTACAAGGAGCTATGCTCCAGTTCTTTCTGTCTCCCACCAAACCCTGGACCAAGATGCACTCAAAGGCAAGGATGCTCTGACTTATCAGCTTCCCTAGTACGCAAAACAAGGTCCTCAGACCTTGTGGAGTTCAAGTCCTTGCATGCAGATACCTCTCCATGCCATCTCCGATTAGCTCCTCTCCATCTTCTTCTTCCTCCAGGGGTCCCTCTGTGCCTAGCAGCCCCTCGGACTCATCCTCAAAGGGTGGAAGGTCTCGGCCAGGGCTGGAGGTCAGAGCATCAGTGCGGCGGGAGCTCCGGCCAGGGCTGGACGTCAGGGGATCGTTGCTTCGCCGCCGCCTCAATGTAGAGGCAGGACTGGAGGCCATGGTGAAGGACTCAGATGATTCCTGCAAGAGGTCAAGGAGGTGAGTGCAGACATGGCTTCCTTTCCATCAGAAGGTGGCTCTCTATCCACAAGGTATCCTCAGTGATCCTGTCCTCCAACACTCCAAGCCCTTTTCCAGCCTGCAACTGTCTTTGACTGAAGCATCCCTCTGCTGGGAACGCTTGCCTCTGAGCCAAAGGATTCTCAGTTCCCGGGGCCCAGCTGGAGTGTCACTTCCGCAAACACTCCTGTCCCGCTGTGTTTTCTCCATGGCAAATCAAAGAGGGCAGGTGATTTGTTCATTTACCCGTTTATCATCTCCTCCTCCTTAAGCTTGCATTCCAAAGATCTGAGCACCCACAACGTGCCAGGCACAGAGGGGATGAACACAAGCCCAAAACAGAGAGATTGGTGACTAAGACTGGGGGGAGGGACAGACAAGAACAAGGGACAAAAAAACTACAGTAAATGTATGAAGTGGCAGGATGTCGTTCGTCTGGCGTGCACCAAGCGGCGGGCGGAGCGAGTACAAGGCAGCTGTAGGGGGTGCTGAGCCCCGTTCCTGGAGTCTGGCTCGCCCAAGCTGGTGCGGGCGTTATCACCAAGCGGACGAGCGGCACAGAGCTCGCTAGCTTTGCAGACCCGGCAAGGGCGGAGTAAAGAGGCGAAATCGGCTCCAAGCCAGAGCACAGGGGCCCACTTTCAACCGAAGTACCGATCCAGGCTGGGAGAGCGCCTAGCGCACGGCCCTGGGACTAGGAGCGCGCGCCCCGCCGCTCGCACCCCCGGCCGCGCAGGCCGGAGGGGCTTACCCGTGCCCGGAGCCGGTGCAGCGTGCAGCTCCCCGGGGCCGTCGGCCGGACCCCACGCCCGCACCCACGACCTCCCAGCCCGCCGGACAAGACCACACGCGCTCACCGCCATCGCTGCGCCGCGCTGCTCTCCGCGACTCCACCGACAACCAGTTTTCGCGCGAAAAATGGCTCACGTGACCCGCCGGAGCCCGGGAACCGACGGGAGGAACCGGCGTCATGACATCAACATCCTGACGCGTCGGCCGCGCGGGGGGCGGCCCGACGGCGCGGCCCCGCCCACAAGTCGCCGGCGCTCCGCCCACGCCAGTCGGGCTGGTCCTCGCTGGGCGGAGGTGTCTGTCCTGGTCGGCCAGGCTGTGGCAGCGCGAGTGGGCCGGCGGGACCAGCCCCACCTGCTGGCTGCTGACCCTGTTCACGCTGTGGCCACTTTACAGACTGGCAAACGAGCCGCACAGCCTTGCTCCTGTGGTCTTTTTACTCAGAGTGGACGGTCAGTTTCGACTTTCTAGACGCGCTCAGCCTGAACACTCCCATCATCGGAGCAGCTCCGGGTGGCCTCATCTGATGTTCTGGCAGTTATCGTCACCATCGAGGGCTGCAGAGGTGCAGGGAGCGAGTTCCAGGCAGAAAGAATGTGTACAGCCAAGATGCAGCGAGGACAGGGCGGGCCTCTGCAGACAGGTCCCTGGTTCTGGGTAAACGGCTGTGGCTGCTGGGGGGGTCGTGACAAGGTGGCAGAGCCTAGGTGCCAGAGCGCCTCCAAGTCTTCTCAGGAAGTTTGAGCTTCGTCCGGAAGGCAAAGGAGAGCAAAGGGCTTTGAGTAGGGGGAGACTAGAGCCACTGTGGCTTTTAGAATTCCTCCTGGAGACGGAACTGAAACCGGTTGGAGGGCTGCTGAGGTGCTTCCTCTGGGCATGAGCAGCACGGGCAGGGCAGGCCCTCTGGTGAGCTGAGTGATCTTGACCTGGTGATTGGTGCAGTGACCGGACATCTCTGGATGGACCCCAAGGAAGGGCCAGGAGTGATGATGCGGACTGGAAATATGCAAGAGATATTAAGAGGGAGTTTCCATTGGCCTTGGGTAATGGCAGCAAGAAGGAGGCATGCAGGGTGATCCCAGGACTGTGGCTTAGGAGACTGGCAAATATGGGGGACCCCGCGGTAAATCTGCCACTTCCTCTTGCTCTCAAGGTGAGAGACTCCTTCAGCTATCCCACAAATGAAGTCCTACAGAAACCTACTCGTGGAACCCATACTCAGAGTGCAACATGCGGAATTGTGCGTCGTGGTGCACCCCCTTAGCTGGCAGTCATTCGGCCTGGTCCCAGATAGTCCACCTCTCTTCCTTTCCGGCATACGGTAGCAGGGAGGCTTCCTGCGCCTTGGAGGTCTGCCGTGGCACAAGTCGGTGGGCAGGGGTGATGGTGTGTGTAACTTCCTGGCAGAGACTGGTTGCCGACCTTGACTCTCAGAGCCCTTGGTGCAAGCAGGCTTCAACCTGGAGCCCAGTTGCGCTGTCTGGTGCAGGAATTGTGCATACCCACCCTGGGCCAGGCAGGGAGAATCCCAGATAAGCCAAGTCTCAAATGGTCAGCAGGTATTCACTTCCTCACCTTCTGTTCTAGAATAGAGAGACGGACAAAAAGAGGACCCAGACTCCTTTCTGCCCAGTGTGTTATTGTGGGGTGTGTGTCTTGGGGTTACTATGTAAGTGGGTGTCTACAATTTGACCCGGGCATCAAGTCAGCCTTGGGCCATTGCAGGGGACAGGGCAAGTGTGATTCTGGCCTCATGACACCGATGTTCTTGTGGGTGGAAGCTGGAGTCTCGAGGAGCAAGTGAATGTGTGCAGCCTGGGTAGAATGATTGGGTCCTGAAGAAAACCGACGGGCAGACACTTCAGCTTGGGGTCAAGGAGGAGAATGTCCCAGTGACTCTTGAAATCCCTTAAAACATCCTTCTTTTTTTTTCCCTTTTTTTTTTTTTTTTTTAAAGTTTTTGCTTTACCAAGAAAAGTAGCTTTGCTGAGACTTGGTATCGTTAGATTTTTATCTAAGTTTATGGGCTAAAAAACAAAAAGACCAATATGAAGTCAGTCTGTCTTATGAAAATGTAAGGAGTACTGATAAATACTTAGATGAGTATGAATAAAGTTATTGTTTTATTCTCTCATGGAAGTCTTTTGGTTTGGTATTTAGCTGCATTAGAACATAGACCTTATGAAATAGATCCAAAAGAGACTGATGGTGTGTGAATTATAAATATCAATCTGGAAGTATATTTATAAAGATGGTAGCATAACATTTCAGGAGGTTGAGAATTACAGATTTCCGGTAATTTATATTCTGGTATTTATGTTTTCACCTTCGTGCTCAGTAAATACAATTTTGGGGGTGATGTCAGACTACTTGGTAATAAAGAGAAGAAATCAACAGAGGCTGTCCTGGCAGTCAAGTCCTCCACAGTCTATGATAAGGAAAGTCTTAAGTGTGGTTTTTGTTGACCAAAAAAAGCCAAGAGAAAAAGAAAGCAAACGTACAAGGGCGAAGGAACCAAAAAGAGGTCATGTGCACAGGAGCCAGCCAGGCTGGCAGCAGATGCTGAGACCGCAGGCAGGAGCAAGATCCGTGTTTGAGTGACATAAAGGGACAGTGGTGTAGCGTGGGCAGCCGGAGGAGTGGCCGTGGGAGACTGGACTCAGAGGTAGGAGGGGTCAGGCCTGCTGGCCAGCTTGAGAAGAGCCAGGAGTGGGCAGGGCGGGGATGCCAGGAGGGCCAGCAAGGGGACAGCCTGGGGCGGCTCCCGGAGGTAGCCTGAAGAACTCTTGAAGTTAGGGACGCTGGAAGGGGCGGGTCACACGCCGGCCTGGCCCTGGGCGCTGGCACCTCCTGGTCGTGAGCCTGGACAGGTCACCCGGCCTCTTGAACCCCTGGGTTTCTGGCTGTAAAATGCGCCTAATGAGAACCGCCCTGCAGGGGGGCTGTGAAACAAGCGCCTGAACGCCAGGGCGCCTAGATGGCGGAGGTCCGCGCGCGTGGCACGCTGATGCAAACGCGTCGCCCGCCCGGGGTCGGGCTGCCCCTTCCTTCCTCAGCCAGGCGGCCAGAGGTCACCAGGCGCGGCGGCCGCGGCCCGACGCTGGAGACGGCGGCACGCGACGGGGCGGTCCGCAGAGACTCCGCCCCTCTCGGTCGGGCCGCCCCTCGGCCCGGAGGAGGTGGGCTGGCCCAAGCGAAGCGGGCCGTTGACAGCCGCTGGCCGCGGGCCGGAGCGGTGGCCGAGAGGTGGCGGCACCCGCAGCTCGGAACCTCGACTCCGGCAGCCTTGCGGGTGAGAAACGCAGTGGCTTCCCCTCGGTCTGCGCAGCGGCGGCGCCGCGTCTCTTTAAGAGGTCAGCGCGCCGCCCGTCTCCTGGGGATCTGATTGGCTCCTTTCATGTGCTGGCGCCCGCCTATCACTGGAAGTCCCTTCCTATAGGCCATTGGAGGCGGAGGGGCGGGCTGAGTGCTACAAGTTAGGGACTGGGGATGTTTTCGCAGTTTCGGCTGAGCGAAAGGGACACTCCTGACTTCCAGGTCGCCTCTGCCTGAAGGGCTACTCGGGGGCCAGTGGGCCCGGCGAGCCGACGGCGTCCCACCTCCCCGGCCTACCCGCTCGGACCCCGCCATTCCGCAGAGCCAGTCGCTGCGGCTCTTTCGCGGCGACTCTTCCGGGCTCTGGCCGTCACTCCTGAGCGCTGGAGGCCTGAGTCCCGCGGCCTGGGCCGGTCCGAGCGAGCGCCCATCGCGGTGGATGGGTGGCCGCGGTGGCGGGGCCTGAGAGCGGCCCGGGCCCTCAGGTAAGGAGGGGACCCTCCGCCCCCCTGACCCTCTCCTGCCACAGCTGGGCCGAAGGAGACCCCACTGCGCCCCCGGGGGCCAGGCCTCCGCGGGAGCTTGGGACCCCTCTGGGGGTCCCCCATGGCCTGCAGCCCTGGCAGGGAGACCCCCACCTCCCCCCGCCCCAGCCTGGTGCATCTAGGGTGTCCTGTGATTGGGACGCCCACCCCAGTGGCTGGCAGGGACCCACCTACCCCTGCTTCCAGAGTGACCCCATCCAGCTCAGAGCACAGCCTCAGAGGACACAGGTGGGGGGTTTCAGAGGGTGAGCCGCGGCGTGTGAAGCCTCCAAAGAAGAGGGGACCCAGACCCTTAGGTTCAGGCTGGCTCACTTTCTCTGAAGCCCGGCGCTGGAGCAGGGCTGTGTGCAGGAGGAGATCTAGCCCTGGTGCATGGGCTTGGTTCCGGGTTCCAGCTCCCAGCAGGGGACAGGAGCTGCCTCCAGCTGGCTGTGGCCTTCAGACTCCTGAAAGGGCAGGAGTGTGTCCATTTGCTGACATGCAGCACTGTAGTGTCACCGATGTTGAGGGGCCATCTCTGATGCTGGAGGACTCTGCCTTCCTGGGGAGGAGGGTGGGAGTGACCGGCCTGCCTGCTCGGCAGTGGGATGGGTCCTCGAGGGATCTTTCTCCCACTCTCCAGAGAGCTTGGCTGTACCCCACTGGAGATTCATTTGTTCACATCAGAACATTTTGTTAAGAACTTATTTTGAGCTAAGCCTTGTTCTAGGGGGTGGGATCAGGGACAGCCTGGGGTGGACAGCCACTAATACATACATTACCCAGCTAGGGCCACTTTAGAAAAGGCCCAGTGTTGCAAAGAAAACGCTAGCCATGAGAGCGTTGAGAGATAGCTCTGGCGGGTTGTCGAGGAGGTGACCCGAATGATGAGACAATTTGGGAGAAGAGCCAGCACACAGGTCCTGAGGTAGGTGTAGGTGTAGCAGCTCAGAGAGCAAGATGGCCAGGGGCTGGAGAGTGGAAGGGAACAGTCAGAGCAGCAGACAAGGGTCAGAGCAGGGTGGGCCTTATGCCCAGGAAAAGAGCCCAGGGCTCTCCTTATCCCTGGGGGCTCCACCCTGGGTGCTGGCAGTTTCCTGGAGGGGCCTCACCAGAACAGTGTCCACCTCCTAGCCCCCTAAAACTGAAAGACAAAGGGAAGAGCCTGCAAAGGACTAGGCCTCTGTCCTACACAATCTTTCATCCTGTCTTGTTGCAGAATTTAAAAGTGCCACAGCCCACCAGATTGTAGGCACTGAGGGTTGTTACTGCAGCATTGAAGAAGTCTCTCTCTTCAGCCCAGTGATTCTTATTTACCCCAGGGGGTTTCATCCACCTACGTGAAGTTTGGTCAGTCTCATCATGCAGCTGGAAGACGGCAAGGCCTGTCCCCAGAAGGGAAAGGCCTTTATGCAGGGGCCCACAGCAGGCCTGGCACTGCGGCCGGGGCTGGCATGCTGTCCCACAGGCTGGTCACCCAGGGAGGGAGGGGCACAGGGTGGTGGAGGCCCATGTGAGGGGAAGAGGGCCTCTGGAATGTTAATGAGGTCAGGAAACACCCTCCCAGGTGGAGGAAACTGTGTGTCCCAGTTTTCTTGGTCCCCAGAGGCCAGGGGTTGCCCAGGGCACTCAGCAACCCCTGGAACTTCCTTCCACATCCCCCTAGTGTGGCCCCCCCACCTCCTCCTGCCCCAGGCCAGTTTCCCCCCGCCCTGTTTCCTGAGCCTGGGCCGCCCACTGAGGTCTCTGTCACTGTCAGCTACTGGCCCCAAGGCCAGGAGCTCACCCCCTTTGTGTCTCCCCCCCACGCCTGTATATTGGGGCCACTCACAGTCCCTGTGTCGAGGCTGCTGCGAGTGCTAAGTGTGTCCCCTAATGCGTAAAGCACTCGGCCTGTGTCTCCGTGCCGGAGGTGAGCGTTGTCTTTTTTTATGACGGCTTAGTTGTTTTACACGCTGGGACACACAGGCAGTTCTGGTCCGGGCAGCCTCCTAAGGCAAGTGTGGCTCTTGACCACAGAACAGCGGCACCCGCTGGGAGTGCGCGGAAATGCAGCCTCCCAGCCCTGCAGGCCCCGTCGGGCCAGGGTGGAGAAACAGGTGCACAGGGACGCCTGGCAAGCCACCCACCTGGGCCTGGGCTCTGGCTGCGACAGCTGGCTCGCAGACCTGCAGGTGGCTACCTCTCAGCTCTGCCCTGCAGGCAGTGTGAAGACTTTTCAGTAGGGGCTGAGGCTCACCGAGTGCTCTCTGCAGCTATAGAATTAGCACCTGACACGCTCCCTCCTCACCCCAGACCCCGCAGCTAGTAGGGCTCACGCCCCCTAACCCCCTAACCCCCAGCCCTCTTCTGGGAAAAGCCTGTGTGATGTTGTAGCGCTTGACTTCTCTGGTCCTGATTGATCCTTGCAGCAACCTTGTTGGTTGGGTGTCATGTCCCTGTGATACTCACAGAGGGGAAATGACTCACCCAAGGACATGAAGCAAGTCAGTGGCAGAGCCAGAAGTGCGGCCCAATTCTGTTCAGTTCCGGGACCTGTTTTAGATACAGGTTTCTCACTGCTAAACTAGAGAAAGCAGAATTACAAAAACTAACTTAAACAGAAAAGGGAATTTGTTGAAGTCCGGGGTGGGGCTAGCTCAGGGGCTCACCAGAAGCTCTGTGTCCAGGCCTGTGTCCACATCTGTCTCAGCTCTGGACACCCTAACATGCTCCTCCCGCCTCCGGCCCTGCTCATCCCACTGGCTTCTCTGCCTCCAAGGGCCTCTCAGCTTCCTTGTTGGATGCTGGGTGCCCGGTCTGTCCCTCCTGGGGCCGCTGTATCTGTTGTTCTGGGCCACAGTTTTGCTCTGCAGGAGGGGAGTGGTGTTCAGCACCCCCTGGCAGTGAGCTCTCCAGGCTCCCCATGGTGGCCTGGTTCTTGTGTGGCTGCAGGTGACCAGAGCGCCTCAGGCCTCACATGCAGGCACAGGAGAGCATCTGGTGACAGTGTCAGGTGGTCAGGGAGGGAGACTCTTCCCAGGAGACTTCCCCACGTGGTGTCAGATGCTCTTGCCTAAAGCAGCCGCCAGAGAGGGGAACAATAGGTCCCTTCTCCACTCTGACTAGAGGGAAGGCTGTTGTGAATTCAGGGGGCTGTCCTGTGCCGCACAGAGTGAGGGCAGTCCTGGCCCCGATCACTGAAAGCCCGTAGTTCCTGTGTCAAACTGGCGCACCCCTGTACGCTGCCGAGTGGCTGATACTTCACTGCATCACCCCGACCCCAAAACCACAGCTTACATTCACTGGAGTTCGCTTCTGGTGCTGGTGCCAGGAAGGAACACGGCTGGTTCAGTGGAATGTCGTGGAAGGTCTTAGAACAAAACAGATGCTTTTTAGCAAGGAAAGGGAGGTGTTGTGTGGTGGTGACACCATCAGGGATGGCCGCATAGCTGTCAGCTGGTCCTCACCACGCCCCGCCATCAACGTGCCATGGTCTCGCCCCTCCCTGCATGTGTCTGTTGGCCGGGCTTGCTGGCCGACCCCCCGGGTCTCCCCAGTCCCTCCTGCTACGTTGGATCAAGCTACCGTGCTCTCTCGCTTGCGAGACTGGCGCACGAGCTCTTGGCCCTGCTGCTCTGCTCTTCCTGAGTCAGTTGTCGGGGCCAGCGGGCCCAGGCCAGCAGCTGTCCAGCCTTCCTGGCTTGACTGGAGTCGCCTCTCACTCTCAGATTGTCTGGTCTGGAGGTGCCGCCCTGGGAGCCCGGCAGCTCCACCTCCCTCCACACGGACTCTTCTTCCTTCTCACACCTCTGGGCCTCTCCCATGCCCAGCGTTGTTCCCTGACCCCTGCACCCGCCTCACCCAGGGCGACAGGGTGACAGGGGCTTGAGGGCCGCCCAAGGTGCCAGCTCTGCACGTGGCAACTGCGTGCCCCTCCAGGCGGCTCTTGGGGCCCCAGGGATTGGAGGGGCTGGCTGGCAGAGTGACAGGCTGTGTTGCCAGACCGGGCATGTGGGACAGACCCAGTTATTGGGGGTACTTCTGTTGTTTGGGAGTCATGAGTCAACCTGAGACAAGGGACTGGGTGGGCCCTGGCAGGGGCTGACAGGCATAGGAGAGCCTCACTTATCTCTGCGCCTTGTGGGGGTGCAGCCTGCAGACTCTGCGTGTGGCCCCCTGGTGTTTCACTGGGAGTCAGACCCAGGGCACGGAGCCTCTGCGCTGCTAATGTGGCGTCTCCCCACCCCCAGGCTGGCTGCTGGCGGGATGGATACCCTGGAGGAGATCTGGGCCAACGGGACCACCTCGATTCCCCCACACCCGGCCTCCAACATCAGCTGTCTGCTGCTGCTCTATGAGGACATCGGCGCCTCTAGGTGAGAAAGTCACAGCCTGTGGACAGCTGGGGGGTGTGTGAGTGGGGTTCCTGGCAGGGCCGTGTGAGAGAAACAGAGGCGGGGTTCAGGGCTGGGGGGGAGGGGCAGATACAACTGACCAGTGAGCTGGCTTCTGTACCTGTCCGCTAGGGTTCGGTACTGGGATCTATTGCTGCTCATCCCCAATGTGCTTTTCTTCATCTTCCTGCTCTGGAAGCTTCCGTTGGCTCGAGCCAAGATCCGTGTTACCTCCAGCCCCATTTTTATCACCTTCTATATCCTGGTGAGTTCATTCCAATTGGTGACAGAAACCTCAACTCCCACTGGCTAATGCAGTAAAAGGAAAGGGTTGATTGTCTCAGCAACAAAAAACAGCTTCAGGTAGGGCTGGACCCAGGGAATTCAGTGATGTCACCTGGGCCCTGCCTCTCTGCGCTCTGCCATCTTAGCTCAGATGATGCTCCCACATGGTGTCACAGACAGCCAGGTGCCGCTTCCAGCTGACATCCCGTCCCCTGCCAGCTCCAGCCAAGAGCAGCTCTCTCCTGATGGTTCCACTGCACACTGGATCCCCCGACTGACCCACGCTGGGCCCTGTGTTCACCCGGAGCCCATCACTGTGGCTAGTGGGCAAAGAACTGCTTTGGAGCTTGGAGGGTGGGATCAGCTCAGATCATAGGGAGGAGAGCTTGGGGGGAAGCTGGAGAAGAAAATTGGGGAGCCATTATTAGACAGATGGTGGGTGGGGAAACAAGCCTACTGCAGCCTCTACGTCCATCTTTGTCCGCCACCCCACACATGCTGTGAGACCTGTGAGCAGGTTCTGCCTGTTGAGAGAGCTGGCAGGGCTCGTGGTCGGGGCTGCTATCTGGAGGAGCCATCAGGCTGCGGTTGAGGGGGGCCCCGGCTGGGTCCAGTGCAGCCTGACCTGCCCTCCGTGGGAACCCGAGTTCTTTCCCCTGTGCAGTTTGGCTGCTACCACCCGAGAGCTGAGGGCCTGGGCCCCTTTGTGGCCTGGCTCAGGGTCCCCAGTCTGAGGAATGGACAGCTGGCAGTAGACGTGGGTGAGGGCCCCCGGCGGAGGCTCTAGACCCCCCAGTGAGGAGGTGCATGCCGGGGTGGGCATCGAGGCCCACTCTCTCCCACAGCCCCTCTGACCACTTACTCGTTGGGTGTGTGGTCAACAGATAATATTGTACACTGGGCAGGTGCCCTTTCTGGGGGGCACCTTTCTGGGGGTAGGGAGGAGGGGCCCAGGACCCGTGCTCCAGCCGTGCTGGGGGACCCCACCCCTGGCTTGGCCTCGCTGTGCCCAGTGCCCTCCTCTGTGATCAGACAGCTGGAGCTGCTTTAGCTCGAGGCCTCCCTGGGGCCCTGGACGGGAGGGCGGGCAGCGTGCTGCCCAGTGGGTAGATCTGGGCAGTTGCTTCTCGGCCTGCCCTGCTGGATGGCGTCAGCCTGTCCAAGGCGTGGGCAGTTTTCATGGTGCAGAGGGCAGAGTGTGTGTGACTCTGCATGTGACTTAGACTCCCAGAAGCCAGAGGGAAGAAACAGCTGAGAAACTGACCATTCCCAGGCCTTGGGCATCAGGGCCGGCTCCAGGGGCTCAGCCTCACGCTCCAGGCGGCTCCAGGCCTGCACCCCTCAGCATCCTGCCCCAAGGGCTTCCCCCCTCGCTGGGCTCTCGGTTCATTTGGGCCCGTTTCCAGCCCGCTAGTGGCGTCGCCCCCCGGGCCCGAACCATGAGCCGGGAGAGCAGCGAGGTTGTTGCCGGAGGAAGGGGGTGGGGAAATTGAGGCCCGCTACTGGCCTGCGTCACGGGGCACCCCCACCCACCCAGGCTGGCGGAGCAGCCCGGGCACAGCCCCAGCGGGGAGGCCGGTGTTCCTGCAGCTGTGGACGTGGTCTCCACCCCTGACGTCTGGAGGCCTGTGCCCGGATCCACGCCCCTCTTGCCCGCCAGGTGTTCGTGGTGGCCCTCGTGGGCATTGCCCGGGCTGTGGTGTCCATGACTGTCAGCTCTTCGAATGCTGCAACTGTTGCTGATAAGGTGTGACTGGGCCTGGTGACAGGGAGGGTGGGGAGGCCTGGCGGGGGTGGGGTCGCGGGCGCCGGGAGAGGGGCCCCCGGCCCCCCGGCTGACGCTCTGCCCTCTCTGTGTCCAGATCCTGTGGGAGATTACTCGCTTCTTCCTGCTGGCTATCGAGCTGAGTGTGGTCATCCTGGGCCTGGCCTTCGGTGCGTGTGCTGCTGGGGCCGGTAGTGCCCCTGCCCCTCCCGGCTGGCCGACCCTAGCGTGGCCGCTTGGCTGGCTCCTGCTGACTGACCAGCACGTCTCTTCCAGGTCACCTGGAGAGCAAGTCAAGCATCAAGCGGGTGCTGGCCATCACTGCGGTGCTGTCCCTGGCCTACTCTGTCACCCAGGTAAGGGGGAGGGCCATGCAGCCCTGGTGGCTCCCTGGAGGAGGTGGGAGCGGTCAGCAAGGGTGTGTACCCACTGCCTCCCCCGTCAGGCATGGAATGTTTGTCAGGGCAGTGTTCTCCAATTTTATTTTATTTTATTTTTGCATACAGAACTGGGGTGCAGGCCAGAGTGCAGGGGCGGTGAGAGGCTTCACCAGAGACAGAGTGGGGAGCAGAACAGGCAAATGTACTAAAACACCCTGCTGAGGGGAGCAGCGGGCGGGTCAGGAGAGGTCTGCCGCGCCATGTGGTCAGCTCCCTGGCTGGGGATCGAACTCGTGCTGAATTGACTGCAGCTAGCTTTAGTTGGTTGCACCACCAGGGAGGGCCCTGTTCTCCAACTTTAAATGCACCTAAGAACCTACCTGGGGTTGCCTGTAACAACCCCAGGACCCCCAGATTCTGCCCACATCAGGGTGGGTAATACCCCAAACCTGCCATTTTGAAGAGCCGCCCGGGGGGGGAAAGGCAGGTCTGCGGTCCACACCAAGCCTCAGGGCCCCTTTCTTAGACTGGGCGAAGGCCGCCTCCTGCCCTGCTCTGCACTGCCCCCCGCCGCTGCCCCACCACGGAGCTGCTGTGGGTCTAGGTGGGCAGGGCGTGGCCAGAGAGCAGGCTGGAGCAGGCTTGGTGTGGAGGAGAGCTGGGACGTGCTAGCGCCTGGGAACCCCCACTTACCTCTGTAGGGGACGCTGGAGATCCTGTACCCTGACGCCCACCTGTCCGCTGAGGACTTCAACATCTACGGGCATGGAGGCCGCCACTTCTGGCTGGTCAGCTCCTGCTTCTTCTTCCTGGTGAGACTCAGGTTGGGGCTCCCCTGCTTGGGCACCAGAGGGCCGGGAAGGCCTGACGCTAATCCTGGCCGGGCGCTCCCTGCTTCCTTCTCAGCCCGCTCTGTCTCTGCAGGTCTACTCTCTGGTGGTCGTGCTCCCCAAGACCCCGCTGAAGGAGCGCATCTCCCTGCCTTGTGAGCAGCTGGGCGGGCTCAGGCGGGGGTCTGCTTAGGCCAGTGTGGTTTGGAGTTGGAGAAACCTGGGGCGGAGGGAGGGAAGCCTCCAAGGGGGATCAGAGGGGACCCAGGTGAAATGCAGGGTGGAGGTGAGGGCCCAAGCTCACCCTGCCCCCACCCCCCAGCACGGAGGAGCTTCTACGTGTACGCAGGCATCTTGGCATTGCTCAACCTGCTGCAGGGGCTAGGAAGTGCGCTGCTCTGCGCGGACATCATCGAGGGGCTCTGGTAGGTGGGCAGGGCACCGTTGGCCCCTTTGGGCAGGGCCTGGGCAGTGGGCGAGGGTAGCCTAGCCTTGACAACCCCCCCCCCCCACTTTCTCCAGCTGTGTAGACGCCACCACGTTCCTCTACTTCAGCTTCTTTGCGCCACTCATCTACGTGGCCTTCCTGCGGGGCTTTTTCGGGTGAGTCTTCTGACTGGGGAGCCGGGAGGCAGGTGGGCAGGGTCGGCGCCTGGTTCCAGGTTTCCCTGGAATTCCAAGGGCCGCGAGTGCCCCCCCGTGGCTGCTGGCAGAACCGCACCTTCCTGCGCGCATGCGCACACACAGCGGCTGCTTGGCCCAGGCCCGCGTTGGGCCCGCCCACGTGCAGAGGCATAAAGGCAACACACATGCACCTCCCCACAAGGGAGAAGGGGGCTGTGCACTCGTGCTGCGCTTGCCATATTTTCCCTTAAGAATAGATGTGCAGTCTTAGCCAGCTCTGAGCGCCCACTGTGTGCTGGGCACTGCTCGCCGGACGCCACAGGGACCAGGTGGACATGCTATAGCGCTGGCGTTCCGGGAGCACTGCAGGAGGGGCGGGGCCTGGTGTTTGGAGCACGGGGCGGGGTGCACGGCATCGTTTAGAGGTGTGTCAGGGAGACGGGTTTGAGGGCCTGAACAGGAGCCTCTGCTGGGGTGGAAAAGGCGCTTTGCCTTTGCCTCCTCCCCCGCCATGTGGTCAAGCCCGGAGAGGGTGTTGGCGGTGGGACGGGAAGGGCTCCACAGGCCCGGGGCCAGGCCTGAGTGTGACTCGTATTGATTTGGCTCCCTGGCGTCGGGCCCTTTGTGGTTGGCTGTACTGCTCCCCCTCCCCCAGAGTTACGCTGGGAGTTGGGGGCCCAGGTCTGAGCAGAGGTGCAGCCACAGAGCTGCAGAGGCAGAAGCCACAGTGGGTGTTGCGGAGCTCTCTGCCCAGGGCCTGCCTGGCCTGCCGTCTCCCGCAGCGGCCCTGGGAGGGCTTGCCAGGCTCCCGCAGCCAGGGGGAAGAGGCCTGATTCTAAGACATGTCCAAGTGAGCACTACCGAGTTTCCTCTGCCTCACGGCCTCGGCGCCCAGGGCCGGAGGCCTTTCCTGACTACTGTGGGGCTTCCCTGCCCCTTCTCGTCCTACCAGCTCAGAGCCCAAGATCCTCTTTTCCTACAAATGCCAAGTGGACGAGACCGAGGAACCAGACATGCACCTGCCCCACCCCTATGCCGTGGCCCGGCGGGAGGGCCTCGAGGCGGCGGGGGCGGCCAGCACCCAGTTCGACTCGGCCGGCGGGGTGGCCTACCTGGATGACGTCGCTTCCATGCCCTGCCACGCTGGCAGCATCAACAGCACGGACAGCGAGCGCTGGAAGGCCATCAATGCGTGACTGCGGCCGCCCGGCTGCAGGCCTGCTGGGCCCTGAGAGGACAGGCTGGAGGGGCGGCCTGGGAGCACAGAGTCCCCGGCGGCGGAGGATGGTGAGGGGACAGGGCCTTCTGTGGAGCGGCCTGCCTGCCTCCCGCGTCTGGAGACCTCCACTGCCCTCTGCTTGCCCTGGGCCACCTCTGCTCTCGCTGTTCCCCTTTCCACCTGCCCGTGCCCAGACTTTCACTTCCAGGGCCAGGCCTGACTGGCTGGCCCAGGGCACGGCTCTCCGAGGCCTGGCACCAGGACCGCTGTGGCCGCCTCACCCCTCTGTCCCGTCCCATGGCGCTTTGGCCTCCTCAGAGCCCACTGTGACACGTGGGCTGAAGTCTGTATATTTTCTTGATCTAGTTTTGTAATAAAAAGGCAAAGGAGCAGCAGGAGTCGCTGTGGAGGTGCTGCAGGAACCCTGGCTGTCCCCGGGAGCCTGAGGTCCTCACGTTCAGGTCCTGGCAGGCTGGCCTGCATCGCGAGCCTGGGAGGCTCAGGGCTCCTTGCTGCCGAAGCGCACGGCCGGCCCCAGGCCCCAGCCGTCGCTGCCTTGGGCCCTGCTGGAGCGGAGCCGACGGAAAAGGAGAACGTGCCATGCTTCATCTCTCCTACCCTGCTGAAGATCATGGGGCTTGGCATGCATCCTGCGGGCCTGGTCCCTTAGGGCTCCGCGCGCCCTGTCCGCGCTGCCAGCCTCCCCCTTCCCTGCACCCCCAGTGTCGCCCTCTGTGACGTAGGTCGAAGGCCCGCCGTGCAGGGCTTTCCCTCAGGGCAGGCAGGTAGTAAGTGTGTGTCGCTGACCTGTGGCAGTGGAACCGTGGTGCTAACTGGGGTCGCTTCTAGCCTCGGGCTCGTGCTTGGCACGTGGTTGGCACCCACAAGATAGGGTCCCAGGGGTGACATGTATTTAGACTGAAAGTGGGGCTAAGTCGGAACAAAGCCCTGAGCTGGCCGAACACGAGCAGGAGAGGTTCCACATGGCCAGTCGCTGCCCTCCCCGTTTGGCCTAGAATGTGGGGGCAGCAGAGTCAAGTGGGAGTGGTCAGTTATGTGACCCCACTGTGAAAGGGGGCTGCTGAGGGCCAGGACCTCTTTCTTGGGCACCAGGGCCAGAGAGTGTCTCAGGGCCTGGACACGGCCCCGTGAAATGTACTACCAGTGAGCTGGACTCGCAGGTGGCCGGGGCTCACTGGCTGCCAGGGGTTCTCCCAAGTGCCCGCTCTACTGTGACCTCCGTCAGCAGGTCAGGTGCGCCTGCAAGACATTCTGGTGTTGGGGACCCAGACGGGAACTTGACAGTCCAGTCCAGAGCTGGGCTCAGTGTCTGCAGTGACAGCTGATCCTGTCAGGGCCATTACCGTCCAAGCGGCTGGGACGGCAGGGAGCGTGGACAGAAGAGGGGCTAGAGCCCTGGGCCTTGTTCTGTCTTTACAGGGTTTTTTTTTACAGGTAATATATGTGCATGGCAAACCCCAAAACAAAATTCCACACCACGCGGTGCCAGCCGGTCTCCCTGGGCCTCTGGTTCGCTGTTCCCTACCCGAAGCCCCGGGCCTGGCCTCCGGGGAGCGCCTGTGTGTGCACGCGGCCATGGGCTCCCCCTGGTCTGGGGACCAGCCTTCCTGTCACTTGCTTCCTCCCTTGACAGTGGATCTTGGGGTCCTTCTGTGTGAGGTTGGGGGAATCGCCTCCCCCTGGCGGCCGCCTGCAGAGGCAATTTACTGAAGCAGCTTCTAGGGAGGCGCTTTCCTTCCAACAAAGTTTGTAATAACGAGGCAGCAATAAAAACCGTTATAAATAGCTTTTGGTAACTCATGCAAGTGGAATTGCTGGAGCACACAGTCTTAATTAGTTTTAATTAGATTCACAGTTTTCTGGCAGTGCCTAATAGCTGCCCTCTGATGTGTGTTCTCCTTTTCTTCCATTGTCATGAAAGCCCTGATTTAAAATAATTTTTTGTTGTTGTTTTTAGCCGAGTACATCGTTGTTGGCATAAAGACGATGTTTTATCCCAGCCTTCCTTGCGGGTGGGTGTGGCCATGTGCCTAAGTGTTGGCCAGTGGGATATAAGTGTGTGGAGAGGCTAGGCTCTGGTCTCTCCTGCTAACTGGGATGCGGTTGTGGTGGCTGGAGCCGTAGCAGCCGCCTCGAGTCACAGAGTGGTTTGGGAGCGCAGGGCTCACATGGCAGAGCCACGAGACACAGCCCGTGTGCCTGTCTGGCACAGCCACAGCAGCCCTCGACTGTCCCTTCAGACCACTTTTTGAAGGTTTAAGCCACTTTGGCTCTTTCTCTTCTGGTTCAACCTAATCTGAACCAGCAAACCCTTCAAGGACACTGAGCTGATTTTAATTCAGCACAGCCTCACGGACACTGTGTGCTGTTCAATTTTTCCATCTTCTTGCAAAGCCCTGCTTATGTCTATTCTATAAAGCCGGGACCCCCGTTCTGGGCAGGGCCAGGCGCTGGCAGCTTCTCCAGCCAGGGCGTGTCACCCCCTGTTTCTCAGCCAGCAGGGCAGGGGGCCGCTGTGGCGAGTGGCCCGTGTAATTGGCCCAGGGGATCAGGAGGTGCCTCTGGCTGCCGGAGCGTGGCTGGCGTTTTATTTCTCATATTGTTTGGAGACGGTGACTCAGCTGAACGCATCCAGCAAATCAAGACCCAATCCCCCGCTGTGAGGAACGCTTAATGCCGGGCTCCAGCCGCGATCTCATTAGGTGCGCAGGGGCCCTGGGATGCCGAATCAGTTCCGCGTGGTGGGGCCCAGTGGCATTCGGGGGCAGGTGGGCCTGATGCGAGGTGGAAAATCTGAGCTGACTCCTCCAAGCCAGATCTTCCCGTGGGCTGGGGACCCCCCAGCTTGCAGGGAGGACTCCACTCTGGGGCTGCCGGTCTACCCCTGGCTGGCCCTAGAAACTGTGGACCCCACACTCGGTGTCTGATGGCAGCATCCCATCTAGTCATGGAAGCCGCTGCTGTGAAGGTGACTTCTGGAAGGTTCCTGGTCTTTGCCAATGCTGACTCTCCCTATCCTCAGAGACAGAGATGGCCACGGGCTTGTATGACACTCAAAACAATTTAAGAAAAGGTAGGACATTCTAAAACTTGGCATTGAGATAGATGTCATCTCTCAGACTGTGCTTCCCACTCAGGTCATGCTACAGACATTTACTGAGCACCTACTATGTGCCAGGCTCTGCGTTTGGTGGTCTAGACACAGCGGACAGACAAGAAAACAGATGGCGGCTTCCAGTTGCATGGCCTTTTTTGCCAACTCAGTCTTCTGATGCGAAACCCCTTTCCTTTTGAGGACTGCCCCCCCCCAGTCTTCTTGGGATCCCCAGCACCCTGAGGGAGGGTGCCTGCCCCAGGTCTAACCCATGAGCAGCGGCAGCCATTGGCTCAGGGATGCATGTGACACTTGCCCAAGTTAATCAGAATCACTGAGCTGCTTTGGGACCTTGATTGCAAGATTCTTTCTGCAGGGATGAATGCAGCCCTGGGATTGCTGGTACCTCCTTGATGAAACCTCTCTGAGGAAAAAGCCATCCCAGGACGCAGTAGAGACTAGAAAGGGAACATAGGAACGAATCATAATCCCAGCACCTGGATCCAGCCATGCCTGAATGGGGATCAGTCAAGTTATCCGGCACAAGTGGGAATGCATCTCCTGTTTTGTTCAAGCCAATTTTGATGTGGCTCCTGTGTCTTGTATCTAGAGGGGTCCTGGCTAATGTGGGTGGCTAGAGTTCTGCTAGGTTGATGCTGGGGGTGAAAAAGGAGACAGCTCTTCCAAAGGCAGGCTCTAACTTAGAGACTGGGTGAGCGAGAAGAATGAGCAGGTATGATCGAATAGCAGGGGAAGTGGAACAGGAAGACATTCTAGGTGCAGGAACCCAGGGGCAGAGGCTGACACAGCAGCGTAGATTTAAATAAGGCAAAACTCTAAGAATCTTGGTTCAAATAAGAAATCAAATACCATTTTAGCTTTTATTAATACCTCCCTTCACACAAGTATCCACAACCCCTTATGGGTCAGATAATAACAGAGCCAAATTAAGTATAATCATCAGGGAAGAGATGATTGCATACGACCCACTCCACCACCATCGGCTTTGGCGGGGAGCTTATCATAATTTCACAGCGTGGAGCCCCAAGGCCCCAAAGGCAGGCATCTTGCAAACCATCTTTGTACAGCTAACCCTTCTGAAGACACTTTGATAGCGACCAAAAATAGGATGGGATTTTACATGTTCACGCCAGCAGCCACACTAAAGAGAAGCCTAGATAGATTTTTTTGGGGGGTGAACACGCTCCATTCACCACTTACTGGAACTGTCTTTGTGATTCTGAAGAGTGAATGTGTTTTTGCAACTGTTGGGAAAGCTAGAACATTTCTTCTCTTCTTATCTTTGCTGAGATTTCTTTTGCCAGCACTAAGAAAGCTTAGAGTTTTCAAGACTAAATGCTGAAATTTCATTATTTGACACCAAGAGGGAAAAAAGTAAAAGGCAGGTTCAGGAAGCTCAAAATGCAGACTGTGGAGCGGTAAAGAGCAGATTAGCAAGTAAGGGAATTGGGGTGTCTGCGCTGACAGGCACTGTGTGCAGAGCTTGCTGGGGGAGCCATGCCTGGACCCACGTGGCTTCAATAAAGGGGGTCGTTTCCCCCTGATGAAGTGAGGTCAGGGTGGCAGTCCAGAGCAGACGCAGGATAACACACTGTCCACCTTTATGCTTTGCTGGCTCAGACTTGGATTCCTTCCTCAGGGGGGCCTCATAGTCACAAAAAGGCTGCCACAGCCCCAGCAGTTCTGTCCTACTTCAGGGTAGGGAAAAGGAGGAGGGGTGAAGCATGAAAAACCCAATGTTGTCATGGTCCCCCTTCTGTTTGAGGAACTTTCCCATAAGGTCCTCCTTTGATGACATTGGCCTAAAACTGCCATATGGCCTCCAGTGTGGCTCAAAGGGAGACAGGGTTCTCTTTTCCTTTTTTTTTTTTTTTTTTTTTTTTTTTTTTTTTTTTTTTTTTTTTTTTTTTTTTTTTTTTTTTTTAAAGATTTATTTATTTATTCATACAGAACTGGGGTACAGGCCAGAGGCTCAGGGGTGGTGAGAGGCTTCACCAGAGACAGAGTGGGGAGCAGAACAGGCAGATCGACGAAGCACACTGCTGAGGGGAGCAGCGGGCGGGTCAGGAGAGGTCTGGCTCGCCATGTGGTCTCCTCCGGGGCAGGCGGCAGGCGGGAATCGAACTCATGCGGAAGTGGCTTCAGATTCTCAGTGCTGTGCTTTAACCCGCTGCGCCACCAGGGAGGGCCTTTTTTCTTTTTTTTTGCGCTGGGCACATGCTGTCCCTAATACACCAGTAAGAAAGCAAATGAATAT